TTACAATACTCAGGTGTGCTACCTTATCAGATTTTTGTTTTCTCTTGACCAAATTAGTTTCATAAGTTGAACCATTCATTCAGACTGAAGACATTATCTGCAACTGAAACAGAAATGAGGATGTGGGTGTGTCTTCTATCCTTACACACCCACACCCACACGCACCCACATCCACACCCTCATTTACACAAATAGCGAGAGAGAGAGAGAATGCATTGATATTGTTTTATGGAATAAATAGATGAATGAATGACACTCTGAATGTCGCATCAGATGTATTGTTATTATTATTATAAATCACTCAAAAAAAGCCTGATGAATTCGAGCTATTTCACGTAGAATTGATATTTGAATAAGAAAACCTCGAGAATTATTCGTCACATCTTTCCATATTGCCACATCCTAAATAAATACATTATAAAAAATAATCATTTCATTTTAGATTGAAAACAATAAACATACATCTTGACGTAAATTAGGAAATGGCATGTTTGAATCGTAATGAAAATTCCATATTTCTGCTTCTACCCAAGCATTATCTGTGTTACGTAGATCATCAATGTATCCTAAAATAATAATAAATTTCAACTAAAACAAGAAAACAAAACAAAAAAAGAAAATCTTTTTGAATTACCTCGATACACCATATGAGATTCAAATCCAGTTGGTTCAAAAGTAGAAATAGAAGCACGAGCAAATGATTCAAAATACTAAATATGAATTTATTTTAACTAACTATCAAAAACAATTCAATCATAAAATTTTTACTTTAATCATATCACTTTCTTCAAATGAAAACCTATGTTCAGAATCACTATCTTTAAAAGCAAGCTCATGAAAACTACGACATATAGCACCATGTGGAGATTCGATACCTAAAATTTTTGCCTTAAAAACAAAAAAAAAAGAAGTTTCATTCGAAAAGAAAAATTCAAAATACTTCAGGTAATTTCCAACCATTTGTATATTTATCTTTAAACACTAATGTTTCTAAAATTCTTTGTCCATCAATAACAACAAATTGATCATGATATTTTTTCCATCGTGTTATTACAGTCATAATAGATTTATTTGGTCCCCATCGAATTAATGCACCACGACCACGTACACCTGTACGACCCATGGGATTCCTATAGGAATATGAAATATAAATCTACATATAGGATTTTATATATTTATATACAAAGGTATTGATAATTGATTATCTAATCTATAGACTAAAGATGTTTTATCTTCAGAAGTTGCAATCCAAGTTGTTCGATCAATAATGATCTAAATGTATAAATTCGATGATTCTATTTGGCAAAAAAAAACAGAATGCAAAACCTTTTTTCCATCGGGTAGTTGTGATTCAACAAATTGATTCCATTTATAATCTGTTAATCGAATAGTAATATCAGTAGTTGTTGTCACTGATGGTTCAATAGCTCTAAATAAATTCGATTGAAATATAATCGAAGTTTAATTAAATAAAAAAAACCCAAACTTACAAATCGGCTTCAACAAATAATCGTTCAGAGTTTTGAAAACAATCGTGTTGTTTTGGTAATGAGATTACTGTTGGATCATATAAATCAAATGAAGCCTAAAAATTTCAAATTTCTATTAAATTTATTTCAAAAAAAAAAGAAGAGAAAATAACCTTCCAAGGAATATGTCTTTCTGTAACTGGAAATCGTGCTTCATATGTATAAATATACGGTGATTCTCTTGATAACATATGAATAAATTTTTGATATACAGGTAATGATTTATCTTCTTGTTTAATTATTGAATGAATTTTTTCAAGTAATATTTGTGCATCAATCAGTAATTTTTCTGATGTAAGAACACGATCACTGACGTGTCGTAAAGATTTTCGTAGTATATCAATATCTTTTTGCATATTTATTGAACTAAAATGAATTGTTTTAAATTTTTTATGAAGAAAAATAAAAAATTTTTATTTTTACCATTTAGATAAATTATCAAGTTTTTCTTGTGCTTTATCACCTTCTTGTGTTTTAGCATAAAATTCTTTAGCTTTGTATTTCCAATATACATTAGTTTCATCATTTTCCCAATTATGTTTATCTGCATTCTAGAATAAATCATATTCAATAATCGAATATAAAAGAAAATATTTATTCTAAATACAGTTTTATTTTTGTGTTTTTCTATAACTTTTTGACATGGTTTACAACGAAGTAAACGTTGGAATATTGAACGATTTTGAATTACTTCATTTGATGTATTCTTGAATTCATCTGTATCAGCATCATTATTTTTTGCTATTGAAATAAATTGAACAATGAAATTTCGATTTGTTTTTTAGTATAATAAATATTTGTACCTGTTGGAATTGATTGTGCAAGAGTTCGAATTGTAGAATAATTTTTCTTATTAGTATATTCTTTTAATTTTAGCAAACATCGAGAACTACAACTTGTTATTAACATAACTATTGTAAAAAGAAAAAGATTTATATGTTTCATTGAAATTTATGAAATTCAGCTCATAGATAGATTTATGATGCTTAAAAATATTATACAAGTTTTAGTCAAAACTAATGTTTTGTTTATTGAAGTATTAAATTTTCAACAAGTCATGAAAATTGAGTTTGATCAGAAATTCAATTTCTCAACAAAGAAATATGTTTTTTTTGGCTAAAACTTCCAGGATGAAGTCAAATGGTGAGCAACAGCTCAAGTAACTCTTTTGTGAGTGTGACTATTAAACACTTCAAAAATCATCTCTCTAAATAAAAATTTTACTGTTCTTTCATTCAGCAAAATATTTACAATCGTCTTACTGATGTAAGAAATAACAATAAAAGGTGGAGGTAAACGTGGTCGTTTAGCATATTCCATGAGAATTTCATATCGATCATACAACCAAATTTGCTGAGACTGACTTTGTACTCTCGCTCCAGTTAAACTAATTTAACAAAAAAAAAACAAAATAATTCAGTTATCTGACTTGATCTAAATTAATATACCCAAACATCGCTGTTAAAAGTGATACAAGAAAACGTTTAGCTAAAAAGAAATATTGAATAAGTAAAAACCATGCTATCCATGATGTTTGATTGCAATTTTGTGATGGTATTCCATATCTTTTATATGCATAAGGATTGTCATCTTGAATCAAAAAAAGAAAAGTGATTTCTTTCTATTAAAACAAAACAAAATATTATTGTTACATTTAAATGAAAGACCATTAGATAATCTTAGACAAGCATATTCTCTTTCTGCTTGAGTTGTTGCATTTATTGAACATGGTCCACGTTGATGTTTTAAATCAGCCATCTCACTAGTAAATAATCCCATTAAACCACGAAATACAAAAGCTTTTAAAACTAAATCTAAATTAAGTGAGTGATGTGGATAAAGTACAGCTGCTATTG